GGGGGGGTAGCCCTGATATGTAGCATTTGCCCATTTCCATCGTGTAAATATTTTCACCATAGCTACCATTGTGATGTCAACCAGCTTGCTGAATACCTGAACATTTAATATAACTGACTCTTGTGAGCCAGTGTGAGCCATACCTGTACCCCATTGAGTGGGGCCCTCCCAGGAGATCTCTCCATTTCCTCCACCCCAGCTCACACGTCAATTCCCACAATAATTCCTCAGAGTCCTTGACACCCCTTCCCCCTCTCTCGTTCTCCCTGCTCAGCCTCTCTGAGCTCCACCTCTATTCCTGGCCTCACAGCTTCTAACTCTCCTTACCCCTGGCAGGGTTTCCCATCTCCTTAGAGTCCCGGGACCAGCTTTGCTGCTTTGTCACCATGTGCATCTTCACCTGCACTGGCCAGCACTCCTCCGTCCACCTGGGCCAGGTACTTATTATAGGAGGGCAGTGGGCATTTGCACCTGGAGTGGGGGGGGGGTGTGCTGTGTGCAGGTGGCTAAGGGGTTTTTATGCTTAGCAGACATTGAATTTAGATATCTGCCCCTCCTTAGCTGGATTGGTATGCTTGGGTCCCTAATGCACCCTGCACGATGCGAATACCCCCACCGACTACCAAGGATGTGACACTGGAGACAGTGATGGCAACACTGCCCAACTTTCATCAGGCTTCTCTCCAGATGTCCATCACTTGGCAACTGGGCAGACGTCAGCCCATTATGGTGAGAGCCATGTGCCTTGGTCCCTGAGGAAGGGGGCAGCTCTGGGGCAGGGTGGCACTCCAAACTGGGGACCATAAGGCTCTCAGCTGCCTTTTTCTCTCCATCCCAGGTGACTCTGGGCCAGCATGAGGAGGAGTATTTTTCAGGCCCTGAGCCCAAAGCTCTGCTGAAGAAGTTCAGGGAGGAGCTGGCTGCCTTGGATAAGGAAATTGAGATCCGGAATGCAAAGCTGGACATGCCCTACGAGTACCTGCGGCCCAGCATAGTGGAAAACAGTGTGGCCATATGAGCACCCCAGCCTTCGGCTGTTTCCTCATCCCTTCCCCCCACCCCACAGCCCCATCCCCTAGTGCTTTCAGTCTTACCCTCCCCCACCATGCCGCTTCTATCTCCACCCTCCCTAGAGAGTCGCTTTTTCTTTGCAGATGCCTACACACACCACCCAGGGGCCTTGTTTCCCATTTATTCCTCCCTCCTTTCTTATTGCCCGCCCCCGCATCACTGGGGTCTCCCAAAAGGCAGATAATAGTCACATTTCTATAAACTGTTTCAAGAATGGACTAGGGTAATAATACATATTACTCCACATTTTTTATCATTTTGAATCTAATCTGAGGTTACTGACCACAAAACGATATTTTAGACTAATGAAAGAAAAAAGAAACGAGATAAAACTATCCTAAATCAAACACTGGCAAAAGAATATAGCACGTCTTTTTAACTCGGTAGGCTGTACCACACGTCCTGAAGCTAGACACAACACAGAGCAAACCATTAACACAGCAGTTCTCAAGATTTTCACTTTGTGACTCACTTGGAAAATCGTAACTGGTTAAAGTCAAGAAGCTGCTCCCCGGTGGAGGTATTCGGCCGTGGGAGTGTCAGTCTGAGGGTCCATATTTAAACCCCTTTCGGTTGGCCAGTTGGGAGGCTCCAAATTAAAATAACTAACTGGAAAAATAGTAAAAAATCTCATGGTTATTTTAATGAGTGACAACAAAGGAATCGATAAATTCCAACTTCTGTATCTTATTAAAATTTTGGAAAAATAAACATGGAAGTTTGTTTTTTTTTTTTTTTTTTAATTTATCTTTACTGTTGAAAGTATTACAAGTGTTCCAGTTTTCCCCCCATTGAGCCCCTCCACCTCGCTCCCACTCCCTCCCCAGGCCTTCACCCATTATTGACTGTGTCCATGGGTTATGCATATATGCATATAACTTGTTTGGTTAATCTCTTCCCACCCTCTACCCCCCTTCCCTCTTCCCTCTGAAATATGATCGTCTGTTGCATGCATCAGAGTCTCTGGATCTATTTAGTTCATCAGATTGTTTTGTTCATTAGTTTCTTCTTAAAGAAGACCCTTCAACATTTCCTGTAGTGTTGGTCTGGTGGTGATGAACTCCTTTAGCTTTTTCTTATCTGTGAAGCTCTTTATCTGACCTTCAATTCTAAATGATAGCTTTGCTGGGTAGAGTAATCTTGGTTGTAGTTCCATGTTTTTCATCACTTTGAATATTTCTTGCCTCTCCCTTCTGGCCTGCAAGGTTTGTGTTGAGAAATCAGCTGACAGTTGTATGAGTGCTCCCTTGTAGGTAACTAAGTGCTTTTCTCTTGCTGCTTTTAAGATTCTCTCTTTGTCTTTAACCTTTGGCATTTTAATTATGATGTGTCTTGCTGTGAGCCTCTTTGGGTTCCTCTTGTTTGGGACCCTCTGTGCTTCCTGGACTTGTAAGTCTATTTCTTTCCCCAGGTAGGGGAAGTTTTCTGTAATTATTTTTTCAAATAGGTTTTCAATTTCTTGGTCTCTTTCTTCCCCTTCTGGCACCCCAATAATACGAATGTTGGGCCTCTTGAAGTTGTCCCAGAGGCTCCTTATACTATCTTCATATTTCTGGATTCTTTTTTCTTTTTGCTCTTCTGGTTGGGTGTTTTTTGTTTCCTCATGTTCCAAATTGCTGATTTGATTC